CTCTCTAGCTCTCACTTCTCTCTAGAATTAATACTCTATCAAAACTTTTATTTTAGTGTATATTTTTTTTTTAAATCGGCAACGCTTGTTACTGTAAAAAACAACACAAAATTTAAATAAAAAGAATAAATCCGCTAATTTTACCGACACACGGCGGTTTATACGTAAAAACTACCGCATATACGCTTTGAATTTTCAGGGTGATTTCTACAAATACGGGAAAAGGCAACACCAAGTGCCAAAACACGGGACTTTTGTTAGAGTTTCTAGGATCACGTGAGTTGGAAATGGCATTTCCGAATAGAATTAGGATTCTCTTTAGACTCGGTGCTAATTGGAAATGGCATTTCCCAATAGGAAATTAAAAATGAGATTTTTTTAAACCCATTCAGATTCTCCGATCCAATTCCAAATAATTTGTTTTTTAGTTTTTTACTTTTTGTACTTTTTGTAGACACATACCATTCCCTAAAAAATATACTTTGAATTAAATTTATTCAATGATTTTTTTAAATACTCCATATGTAATTATTTTATTTTCTGAAATCAACTAAAAAATAAATGTAATAAAAATTATTTTATTAATAAATGTGAGCACATACAATAATAAGTTCAATATAACTATGTCTACTAATTCCTATGATGTCCGTGGCAAGGCACATCGATCGAGGTGCCCCTGGATCCCACAACCACGAGGGCGTACGTTGTTGTCGGCGTTGTCTCTTTTCAACATGCAATTGGTTGTGTACTTGGGCCTGCTAGGCTGCTATATCCCCCCGTAACTATTTCAAGCCACCGGTGTGTGCACATAAGTAGGACTATGCTCAGATATATTTTTATTTGATTAAAATTTTTCCAATGCATTATTAGTATAATATTATTAAAACATCTAAAAATGAAATACTTCATTAATACAGTGGAGTACTCTTACCTGATAACTTTTTATCTGATGAGTTTTATCTGATTAAATTTTATGTGATTTATCTGTTTAAATTTTATTATAGATAAGTCATATCTGATTAAAATGTACCACATATCTACTTAAAATGCGACTCAGTTTATGTTATTTTATTTTTCACAATGGGAAATGAGTTGAATGGGTTGATTTTTTTTTCCCCATTCAGAAATGGAGATTTTGAATGAAATGGGTCAAATGGGTTTGATTTCCCCATTCGAAAAAGGGTCGAATGGGGTTGAATGGTCATTCCTAATAAGATGTGAATTGGTTGAATATTTTTCCATATTAAAAAAATGGACATTTCCAATGAAATGTGTTGAATGGGCCGGGTATTCCAAGTCAAACAAGAATGTGTTTACTTTTTTTCGCATTCCAAATTAGAGATTAGAAAGAAATGGATTGAATGAGTTTTTTTCCCCATTCCTAAATGGGTTGAATGAGGTTAAATTGGCATTTCAAATAAAATGAGAATGGATTAATATTTTTATTGCTTTTCACTTTTTCCCATTCGAAAATGGCGATTTCAAATGAAATAGGTTGAATGAATTTTTTTTCCATTCATAAATGGGTCTTTCAAAGGAGTGGGTTGATTATTTTTTTTCCCTCATTACGATATTTCCAAGTGGAGCAGCATTACATTTTAATTTGTTTTTTTTCCTCAATTGGGGATTCAGAATAATAAAAGTACATTTAATGGGATTTGGAAATGGGGATTTAAAGAAAAATTTAATGGGATTTGGAAGTGGGGATTCCGAATGGGATTTAAAAAAACATTTAATGGATTTGGAAATCGGAATTCCAAATAGGAAGAGCTTCAAATCTAGCTCTAAATCATTTGGAAATGGCACTTCCAAGTCCCTTGTTTTTGTACCCTAAAAGGGTTTTGCCTCGCATGTTCAAAAACCCTGTTTTTTCGGAATTCACTCGAATTTTCAAAAATACACGGCGGTTATCACTTAAGAACAACCGCGAAAATTTATTTTCTAAAACGCAAAGTACGTCCCGCTTTAGCTTCTCACCTAATTCATTCAACCCTAGATAAAAATGGTGATAAGGCTTCAAAGCCGCGGCTGCTATGGCGATAAGGCACTGTAACCGGTGAAGTTAGATCAGAGGCGGAAGTTTTGAGCAAGACGGCCTGGTGTAAGAACGGTAGACGGGCGGATGCGCTGCAGACGGACGAACTCGGATTGAGTATGGTAAATGACTCATGCATCAATAATAATGCTAAAACGTATATTTGGTAAATAAATACTCTAGATATATATTTTTTCCAACGCTAAGGATGATGCTTTATTGGTTTAACAACGAAAACACGCGTGAACAGTTACACACGTGAACAATAACTTTTACTTATTTTTTTCGTGTCCCAGTGACAGAGTGATGAAAGTTGTGTGTAGAGAAATGTAACTCATGCAATTTATTGATAAGAAATGTAACTGCAGGCAAGTCGAAATGTAACTTGTCTAATTGCTCAATTCATTTACGTAAATAGTAAATATGTTTTGTTTGTCATAAAAAATTTAAAAAATCATTTATTTTTGTTAAAGAAATCAATTTTTTTCTTGCCAAAAAACATGTTTTTTGCAAAACAAAATGTATTTTTTTCGTTTCAATAGCAGGAGTTTTATTTGTGATGTAACCCGTGTTATTGAAAATGTAATTCGCATTGATGGAAAATCTAACTTAGGTATGTGCAAAATGTAACTTGTCGAGACAAGTCCAAATGTGACTCGCGCATAGGAATTAAGATGTAGCTCACACATGAGAAGATGTAACTCGCGCATAAGAAGATGTAACTTCATATATACTATCAAATGTAAACAATGAAAATAAGGGATCTAATTGCTCAATTAATTTATGTAAATAATGAATATGTTTTGTTTTTAATAGTAAGGCCATACAAAATGATTTATGAAATCATTTTCTTGCCATTTTTTGTTTTAATAGTATGTGTTTATTTTGTGATGTGACTCGTATTATGGAAAATGTAACTCGCGTTGATGAAAAATCTAATCTATTTGTATGCAAAATGTAACTTGTTGAGACAAGTGCAAATGGAACTCGCACATAAAAATATGAAACTCGCGTACAAATGTAACTTCATATACTATCAAATGTAACGTAACTCAAGAAGTTGTTTATAAACACAACTCACACATGTGGAAAAGTAAACCACACATATGGAGATGTGATCTCATATACGGAGTATATTTTATCAAATGTAAATCGAAAAAAAATGTCTTAAAAACACTAATAGCATATAAAATAGATAAGAAATATATTATAGGAACAAGTGTATGAATATGAATAAAATATTACAAAAAAAGTGTATAATACAAAAAAATATTACAAAAATAAAAATAGTGTATGAATGTGAAATTTTATATACATATTTTTTTAGATTAATATTACAAAAAAGTGTATAATACAAAAAATATTACAAAAAACGAGTTTAATACAAATAAATATTACTGAAATAAAAATAGTGTATGAATGTGAAATGTAATATACTTATTTTGTTGTATTAACATATTTTTAATGCATTGATAAAAAATAAAAATTAACTGATCGGGAGTTGTAATATAATCTAAGTTGAAGATAAAAAAAGTAAGATTGCAATTATATTTTTAGTATTTCATGAAGAAGAAGAAAGAATTGACAATAAGGAAACCAAAGTAAAGAAAAAGAAGAGAGAAAAGGAGATATGTAAGTGTAGGGACACAAAGTAAAGGAGTAGTGGGATCAGTACATTATGTACATGATGTGTCGATCTCACCGTATAATTATTGATCATCTTCATCATCAACGTGGCTCCATCCTAACACGTTGTCATCGCTGCTCTAAACCAAGCACATACTGCATTTGGTATTCACCAAATAGTAGGGGGGCGGGGGCAGGGGGAGAGGGATTTTCTTTAATTTCATTAGTTATTTTCTTTATTTATTCTAAAGATACTTTTGCAGTAAGTTTTCAATAACTTAGTTCACACTACACACATTTCTTGATGCTTGATGTTTTCAAGTTAGTCATTCCAAACAAAATACGTATTATGCTCTTACTAAATGGCAACAAGTAAGCGAAAAAAGAGGAAGAGAAAGAGAGCCTACATGAAGACCTTGAAATTAAACACCGGTCTCAAACGCTTCCCTCCTTGGCAGTATCCAACAAACAACTTTTTTGACTTTAAAAGTTAAATAATACAAATATTATTATTAATAATAGATCTAACAATACTATGTACCCTATTGTACATAATTTCATCTTCATTTACAATTTTACTTTGTACCAAAACATACTACACTACAAAAACACTGTATTTTCCACCAATATTGTTGTTTGTGTATCTAAAAAAATCTTTCAAATAAATGATTATGATACACGAGAAACATACAAAATTGATGAAGATTAAATCGGGCCCGACAAATGCTTGTTGTCTCCTTAAGATCAATCGACAAATTTGCTCGCTAGCAATTGTCTCTTAGAATAGAACGACTTTTCATTCTCGAAAGACTCCAATCTCTAGCTAACCAAACAATGCACTAAAGGGGTGGTGATCGGATAAAGGAGATGACGAAAAACTTGTAAATTTTTGGACTTGTTGAATGTGTGAAAAAAACAAGTAACAATTAGGATTTATAGTGTAACACCCAGAAAACTGGTCTAGCTAAAACAAGGATCAGTTTGAGAATACTTAGAGTTTAATACTAAGTTAATTTCTTGGTTATTATAAGGTTATATATATACTTATGTAACCACTAAATTAACAAGAAATAGTATTGGTTCATTGGTAAAGAAATGGAATTTAAGGAAAATGCTCATATCTTTTTTGAAAATGCTCACAAGTTCAAATCTTTTTTGGAAACTCTTTTATTTCTCTTAAAAACAAACTAATCCAAGACCTTCGAGATAATTTTAGATTTTATCAAACCATCCATTTTCCTTTATTAAACTCGAATTTGTCACCCCATACTGAAGATCGAGAGTGAATTCTCCCCACCTCTTCAAATACCCTAACTCATTTTATTTAAAATAGGCCATCAACACGCACTCCTAGTTTATCTTCTTCAATCTATTCTTTTTTTACGACTTAGAGCGCGTGGAATTCTTCTATTGCCGCTAGACAATATAATCCAGGTCCACACGATTTCATATATTCGTTTGTTCTATTATGTTTCACTGATTAGTTGTGTCACTGTGTGTAGTTTTGATCTAAATTCCATTTCATATGTGAATTTTTTTCATGCTATTTGATGTTCTTAAATCCTTGTTTAGAACTCCGATGATCTTTGATTTTTTAAACATTTGAATGAATGAGTTTTAATCCAAAAGCTTTCAAAGGCCTATCTAACAGCTTGGTAATTTTATTCAGAGCTTCTGCATCTATTGGTTTCATCAACTCAGTACATTCTTTCAATTTTTGTAGTTTTCTACATTAGAACTTCCGGTCAATCGGTTCCGTAGGGTTACTCATATTTTTGGACATTCTAATTTTGGCAAATTATACCGTGCAACCGGCATACCATGCGCATGGTATGCCGGGGTCTGATACGGCACCGTTTACTTAAATAGAAACAAGTCACGCTGACATCATCGTTTTTCTCCATCACCGTCCGAGTCGTTCCCACCTACACACACCCTGCTTCATCACTTTCTCCATCAGCCATCCATCAGCCTTTTTCCTTTCCCACTTCCCAATCACAGATCCGTCACATAGCATCGAGTCTTTTCTCCATCCCGTTCTAATTGTAAAATAGATGACCAATTCCTTTTTTGATATTTGCTGGTGGTTCTCTTTTGATGCTTTGGTATATCATTTATGGAGTAAACAAATATGGAGCAAATCAATCCAATTGATAGGCTTTGGATATTCATATTAGAGCAAATTAATCCACAGAAAGCAAACGCTTATTTATTATTTAGTCTGCTATTTGTTTGCTTTGTTTATATTATAGAGTTACATTTCATATATACTGGCATTACATTTCATTTTGGCTAAAGTTACATTTTGTAACACACGATTTACATTTCATTTTTTCTTTATAAGTTACATCTTGATTACACTTGATTTACATTTGACATTATGCGAGTTACACCACAAAACAATGCAAGTTACACAACAAAAAAAAACCTATGTTATTCAATCAAAAATGATTTTCTTATTAAAAATCATTTTTAATGGACCTAATATTAAAAACAAAACATATGCACTATTTATGTAAAATAATTGGACAGTTAGACTCTTTTTTTTCATTAAACATGAGTTACATTTCAGGGCACAAGTTACATTTGTTGCTAAATGAAGTTACATTTGTAACAACACGAGTTACATCTAATTATGCACAAGTTACATCATACATGCTACTGGGATGAAAATAACAAAAAAAAGTTACTGTACACGCGTGTACTGTTCACGCGATTTTTTTTCAAAAAATTGATCAAAACTACGTCGTTTTAGGGTGTGGAGCATGGTGCTCACCATGCTCCGGTTGCACGGTATACGGACTGTCTAATTTTAGGCCAGAACACTCCTATTTATACCCAAGGTGAAACAAACTATCACGGCACTTGTCACGGATTTGTCCGTGACAAATTTTAAATTTTCGCACTTTTTAGAGTGCAGCGGCGCAGACTGACAGTGGTCTTACCGATGCGTTTGTCACGGACTGATCCGTGACAAATTCCGTGATAAAATTATTTGTCAAGACATTTGTCATGGAAGCGTTCGTGACAAACGTATCGGTAAGGCAACGGCCAATCTGCGTCGCTGAGCTCTGAAAAGCGTGATTTTTTTAAAATTTATCACGAAGGAATCGATGACAAGTTCCCTGACAAGTTTGATTACATATAAACCACACTTAAACAATTTCGCCTCACACTCCTCAAACCCTAAACCACATACGACCACTGCTCCTCAAACTCCTCTTCCCTTTTCGCTCAAAGGCCCGGTAAACTGCCGCTACTACTATTCCGGTAGTCTGCTGCCACTAGTCCGCCGCCGACAAACCACCAACACCGTTTTCGTCGTCACTTAAACTAACGTTATGTGTCTAATCCATTTTTCTTTTCTTCCTTGATGCATATTTGAAGTTCCAAATTTCGGTTGCATGTTGTTTATATTATAAATATGAATGTTATGAGTCTACTATTTATGTTTGAATGTCACAATTTGAATGAAATGTATGCATATATAAAAAATTTCGGTTTTATTTATTTATTTATTTATTTATTTATTTATTTATTTATTTATTTATTTATTTATTTATTTATTTATTTATTTATTTATTTATTTATTTATTTATTTATTTATTTATTTATTTATTTATTTATTTATTTATTTATTTATTTATTTATTTATTTATTTATTTATTTATTTATTTATTTATTTATTTATTTATTTATTTATTTATTTATTTATTTATTTATTTATTTATTTATTTATTTATTTATTTATTTATTTATTTATTTATTTATTTATTTATTTATTTATTTTTCGAACACTAATATGTATATGTTTTATCATTTAGTTGTTACTAATGCATGTATTTATATCATTTAATCATTTATTTGGACATTAATTTGCATGAAATGTCACGAATGAAATGCATGTTTATTTATTTTTTTATAGTTAAATTCGCATGTTTAAATTCACATGTATTAAATTCGCATTTAATATATGTATAATTTGCATGAAATTGTTTATTTACATATTTCTTATATGCATGTGTTAATTATTTTTTAATTTCAGACCGTTAAATTCGCACGTGCTAATTAATTTATTAATTCACATGGCTTAAATTAATAGTTACTTGAACTACGTAATCGGCATGCTATAACATATTTACTAATTTGCATGATTTAGTATTTATGTAAATTATTTTATTTGCATGTCAATGCTTATTGTAGCTTTGCAAAATAAAATCTACCCCCTCATATTAAACTGTTAAACATGTTTAATGTGTTAGTTAATAAACAGAAATTATCAGTTTACTATGTTAAATAATAAACATCTCTTTGTAAAAATAATCCCCTCATATTGGATTGTTAAATTAGTTTAATATGTTGCTTGGTAGAATTCAATCTTTTCTAACAAAACTGTTGTTTTTATATAAAAAAACAATTTTCAGTTTGATATGTTACATAGTGGAATTCAAAACTGTTTTTGAAACTAGAACTCATAAAATATATGACGAGCACTTTGTCACGGTGCGTCAAAATAAATTCAATACTAGCACTAATACGTAGTATACTGAAGTAGAGATCGTATCCACAGGGAAAGGAATAATTCTCTTTTTAGTAAAACTAATAAATAAGGGGGGTTTTGAGATTGGAAATAATTGCCCATATATGACATTTGACTTTTCAAATTACAAAAGTATGACCCTTTTCCCCTTTTCTAAAAATGTGACTCAGCCTCCCTGCGTGTCTCCTCCCCTCCCCTATGCAATCTGCCTTTTCTTCTCCCCTCCCCTGCGCATCAAATCGCACGCAACAAACAACCATTCTCACCTCCAACTCGCCTCAACCCCGCCGCACAGGACGCCTCTGTCTCAGCCTCGCCGCGCCTCAGAACCTCCGCACAGGCCGCCTCCACCTCAGCCTTGCTGCGCCTCACACTCTCCGCACAGGCGCCCTCCGCCTTAGCCTCGCCTCAGCGTCTTCGAACAGGCTGCCTCCGCCTCACCTCGCCTCACCTCGCCTCACAGGCCGTCTTCGTCCGCCTCGCCTCAGATGGATGGTCAGATCTAAGATGACGAACAGTAACGGCCAGATCCGGGGATGGTGGTGGCTAGGGTTCAGTTGCAGGTAGTCAGGATTGAGCTTGACTGTTCAAGGTGGGGCTGGGAAAGGATAGGCCGGGGACTAGGGGTTGGGTTGGGATCTGGAGTGTATAGCTAGGGCAGGGGAGGGGGCTGGGGACGGGGTGGTGGTTGTGGACGGAGAATGGGCGGCGGCAGTGGACGGTGGAGCAGCGGTGGCTGTGGATGAGAGAGAGCGACGTTTGAAAACTTTCCGGCGGCCATATGGCTGGTGGGAGGTCGGTCACTGTGACGGGCAGAGGTCACTGACGAGGGGAGGCGGCAGTCACTGGACGGAATGATGGCTGTCACTGAACTGACCGCGGCGGAGTCACTGTGGCATCGGAGTCACTGTGGCGGCAGTCAATGTGGCGGCAGTCACTGTGGCGGCAGTCACTGTGGCGGCAGTCACTTTGGCCGAAGTCACTTTGGCCGGAGTCACTGAGATAGTGACTGCCGGCGGCGGCGGCGGTGCTGCGGCAGCGGTGCTGCGGCAGCGGTGTCGGTGGCGGCAGTGGTGGTGCTGGGGTCGGTGGTCCTGAGGTGCTAGTGGCTACAAATGTATAAAAGGAGTATTATAAAATAAATATATGATTAAATATAAGGAATAAATGACTTTTAGTCACATTTTTAGAAAAATTTAAAACATGTCACTTTTTTATCTTTTTCATTCATTTTGGTAATATTGGAATAAAAAGGCCTTGAGATTGAGTGATTTAATTTAATTAAATACGAAGATGAACGACTTATATATGAGATTTAATTCAAAGATAAAAAAAAGACTTGGCCTTGCTACTTTCCACTTGTTGATATATTTCAGTCGATCATTGTTATATCTATAACTTATCTCCTCTCGAATACTTAATCGAGGAGTATCTCCAATTCATCGAGGGTAGTTATTAACAACGACCGTTCATTAATAACTCTTACTTTTAATCAATATAGAACAACGTCGTATACCGATTTAATAGTAGCATTTAACCTCTTAAACTCCTTGATGAAATCAGTTGAGATTGATAACCTCAACACAACGGTTTCGGTTTAACCAACAAAATTAATCCCTCTTAAGTTCATTAACCACGACCGTGCATTAATAAACCAAAGTTACTTACTTGTGAAACCATCAACGATTAACCATCGGTTCGTTGATCATTTCCAGTAATAATTAATGTCGGAACTTGAACTAATCGTCACTTAGCAACCCTCCAACATTAATATAGAATGAGATTAAGGGAAGAATTAATAATCAAGAGAAGAAGTTAAGAAAATAACTCACAACTTTAATAATCAACAAGCTTCAAGAGCAAGACCAAGAAATGAGAGTTTAGCTCCTCATTTGGAGACTAAACATGCTAGAAAAATATAAAGAAATGCTATTCTAAACTGAGCTTAAGAGTATGGGAGAAGGGATGGAAAAAAGTGAAGGAAAAGTGTGCTATTTATAGGTGTTTTTCAATACCTTGGGCCGGGTACCCGACCGGGTCAAGTGCCCACCCGACCGGGTGCATGTCAAGATCAGATAATCTTCCGTTCTTGTGTTTCAGCACGTTAAAATGTCCCGGGTCAAATCCGACCCGACCGGGTGAATTAGTTGACCCGACCGGGTCCAGCTCTTTCCTCTGAGGTTCGGTTTTTAGATCAGACCCGATCGGGTGAAGATTTCTACCCGGTCGGGTGGATCTCCCTGTGCCGCATTCATGTTGACTTTTTCTCCTTTTCCTTGCCAAAAACTCTACCACTGTTATACAACTATAAATGGAAGTTAAAAACAATTACAAACAAAACAAAACAAATATATGCTTACAAACTAACTAATAATGGTAAACAATCCACTCAAAATAAATATAAAAACATACATTTATGCACTACAAACTAGTGCATATCAATATAATATTGCAAACTGTTTTTCTAAATGTAAAAAACTGTTAAAAATAGTTTTTCTAACTGTTATATTATAAAATTGTTAGTCAAAACTGTTATTTTTTATTAAGAACCGTTTTTTTTTTATAAAAAAATGTTATAACTCTTATTTTTTAAAACTGAAACTAGAAAAATATCAATGATTAAAAGCTATTGCAAACTATTTTTATAGAAAATATAAAAAAATGTTAAAAATAGTTTTGATTTTGAAAAACTGTAAAGAACTGTTTTTAGAACTGTTATAATAGAAAATTGGTAAAAAAACATTCAAACTGTTTTTTTTTTCAAAAAAATGTAAAACTGTTTTTTTTAAATACTATAAAAATGTTGTTTAATAGATGAGTTATTCTTCTCAAAACTCCAACGCTTCTAATCGTGGCCGAAGTGGCCGAGGAGGCCGGGGTGGCTCAAACTCCAATGACAATATGCCAATGGATGAAAGAAACCATCGGGATCAGACTCCCATTTCCGGGTTACAATCTAATGCTCGCTTTGGTGGAGGCGAGAACGTCCGAACGGGAGGTGGAGGCTCATCTACTCAAATGTTTCCTTTTCGCACGAATATTTTCTAAAAACTATCTAAATAATCATTAAAAATAAAAAAAGAATAACATATAATTTGTTTGAAGCAAACAATGGGTTTTGGAGAGGATTGCTCGGATTATCATTAGCCAGAATGGGGCGTGGTCTACTTACGGGGGAGTTGATGAGCAGAACTGCGACTTTTGGTGGAGGATGTTTGTGGTAAATTAAAATAAGTTTTCTAGTCTCATTTTTTTAAATATTTGTTTTTATCAAAACTATTTTTTTATGATGAAGCATGATCATATGTGGAATATCAACGAGGATGCTGTTGTAAGAAAGGAGTATCATTCTCGCATGTCGAATTAGATAATTGGTACATTTTGAACCGCTCGAAAATCTGCCAAAAAGCCAAAATTTATCTCCGATCCAAATTGGGCCGCTTTGTTGCATTGTTAAGTTGGGCCACCGGTGAAAAGTTTAAAAAATGAAGTGAAGCCGGTAAACTATACCATAATTGTGAGAATGCACTTGCTGCCCAATGGCGAGGTGGTTCGGCACCTATTACTGAGTATGCCAGAAAACAGGTAAAATTAAAATATGTAATTTTTATTAATCACAAATTAATTGAAGAGGCTGAAAAAAATTGACGAAGTGTCATCTATTGAGGCGTTGTTGCGTTCCATAGGACGACGAGACACCACCTCGCATTGGTGAAATTGAAGTAAAAATTGTCAAACACAAATATATTAAAAATTATATAATTAGAAATTTTTATTTAATACAAATAATTATGTATTTGTAGCAAAAATACGAAGAAGTTGCAACACAGAAAGTTGCTGAACTTGGCGCCATTTCTATTGAAGAGACTGAAATTAACATTGACAATGATGACGACATCTACATGACAGCGGTGGGTGATCCGAACAAAGGCCGGGTCATGGGTATGGGTAAATTTTCTCGCTGTATTATTCAGAATACCCGAGGTGGTGGTTCATCTGCAAAGTCTATGATGAGTGAGGAACGGGTGGACAAGTTGCAGGAGAGATTGGATAAGGAGGTCGGAAAGCGGGAAGCGATGGAAAGGCAAATGCAAGTCTTTTTTTTGCCACGGGTGGCAGCCTCAGGGAATTTTGACCGTGACAGCGTCATGGCAAAACGTTTGTCAGGGACGCTCTTCCGTGACAAAAGTTTGTAAGGGTTGTGGCGTCAAAGATTTTGTCATGGACGAGATCCGTGACGACAAAATATTTTTTCGGGGATTTTTTCAAAAGGAATCCGTTACAAAATCCGTTACAAAAATGCTGCTTTTTGTAGTACGTGGAGGTTAATATATCTTATTTATAGTAGTTAAGAATTTAATAGTCTTTCTTAATATTTATTTGTTGGATACTTCGATCCCTTGTGGTTAAACTTGACAATTGCCCTTGATGAATGATGTATGTAGTATTAGTTATTAGCTATGTGACTATGCTTCACATAAACGTAAAATTCACGGGGAACAAGAAATGAGAAACTGCATCTTCTAATAGAAAAAGAAATATTTCAAGAATTTTTACAGAATTTTTGTAAAGTTATCGAAATGATAACATACTCTTTCCCGAAAGTTTCTGTACTTCACAGGTTCTGAGACCTTTTTATAACTTCATCGATACATTTACTACATTCTTTGTGTCTGATTAATTATCTAGCTTGTTTTTCTGTTAATTTTACACAAAAATTAACACCCAAAAAGTAAAAACAAGCCATGTTTTTTGTATTAACTACTTATCGGTGGAAAATCAACACATTTGCATTCGTCATGCCCAAGAGAAATAACAATGGAGGTACTAACTTTTGTAATTAAGAATACACTTTATCTATCACCATAGATTTTCCGCGTTTCAAATTACTTTGCACTTAAAAGTTTGAATCAAGTATGTCTAGAACAAGATGTGTCTTTTCAAATATGAAGTGGTAAAAAGGAATTTTGATCCTCTCCAATAATTAGTAACTAGAGAGTTCCAGTGGGAGAGATAGAGAGGAGGGGATTTTAGATGGGGTATATGGATGAGTAAGATAGAGAAAAAGATAGAGAGAGATAGGAAGAAAAAAAGAAATGGATGGGAAATGGAGAAGAAAAATGGAGCACACTTCTCCTTATTTGAAGTTTTGATATATATAGTCCCTCCATCCCATTAACTTTGGGACATCAAAATGTGGTATGGTTTTTAAAAACAGTAGGTTTATGTGGTTAATATTAAAACGATTAAATAAGAATGAAGTAAGACTGATTTAAAATCATACCAATTTTACCAAATTTGATACGAGAAAATCTTAGTGAAACGAGTTGAAAATGAAATATAGAACAATCTTCGTGGGACGGAGGGAGCTGAGTAGTATTTATCCAATTAGCATTTCTTTTTAAACTCTTATTTCATAGAAGAATGTATTTTATTATTTGAATTCAATTTTTACAATACAACAAAACTTCCAGCGATACTTAAAATAAAAACAAACGATTTGCAATAAATTTGTATCCTACTAATATTTATTTATGATGCTTAATCAAAGTTCCTAAATAACATTAGAATAAAATTGCAATCATTCCAACTCTATAGTGCATTAACATATATAATCTCTTTTTGTCCTTGATGGATCTATGGCAAAGAGGGGAAATGTAAGATATGCTGTTCACACTTGGTGCATACAAAAATATTTGGAATTGGTTGGTTCTTAGGGATGTGTACACAACGAGTATGCTGCCATACATCACATATATCACAACATACCATCCTCTCACCATCATCCTCATCCCTGGTGCCACAAGGACAATCCACAAAAATGCTATTCCTGTCTATCCCTTCAAACATTCCACTATAGTCCACATTTTCTCCACCAATAAACCCCTCAAACACCAACTTGCTCCCACCTTTGATGGCCTCAAGCACCAAGTCTGAACCATTTGGGTAGAAGTTCAAATTAGCCATGAAATTGTTAGTCTTCAACCCCCAATACTTATCTTTAAAGTTTTTCTCTACCGCAATCCGTAGATCGTCAAACGTTGTGTCTTTATCCAGTGCCATGCATTCATACGGTGTCACGACCTTTTCTTGTTCGAAACCTAACAACGCATCCGAGTATGTCATCCTTATAGCACAATATACGGTCGAATTTCCAGAGGTTTTCACGAGTTTTGGAGCATTGTATTCCTTGAGAAAGTACTTGGCATCCAAAATAACCCGAGAGGTGGCGGGGATCGTCTCAAACACTCCTAAACCACTCTCTACCATTAGAATGTTTTTGTATAGGAACTGCACATCCTTCATGAGTTGTACTCTAGTGATTTTATACTTGGGCTTCATCTTCGCGTTGTTGGTTGTTGTTACTCTAAGTCCGCCCGCAATGTCGTCATATTTGGGGAATGCATTAGAAATGTCTTCCAAACAATACTCCAAGACTTTGGTTACGGGGTTGAGGCAGCGCCGCACTAGGTACTTCCCAACTATGTGGTTTCCCAGAGATTTGAGGACGAAATCAAGGAGACCGGTGTCACCGATGTAACTTCGAGCCGCGTCTCGGACCTGTTGCCTTGAAACCCATCGATAATTAGCTCTTTTTAAGGCTTCGACAATCACCCTAATGGCCATTTCGACTCGTTTGGGAGACCATCTACATGTGTTGTCCACCACCAACAACCCTAAGCACAGGAACAAGTGTGGAAAAGCTTTTACAATTACGTAATTATAAATGATCGAAGTTATTTGTGGCATGTAGTATTATGCCATGAACAAAAATGATTTGGTTAATAAATTAAAATAGATTCATGCATAGCTTGCAAGTGGTTGATTGTCAATTTTTTAAGGGGGATCGGAATTTGACTTTGCATCCCACTTTTTGGTTGATATTGGACTTTGTACCCCATTTTAAAAAAACTTTGACTTTGCACCCCATTCCTCTTAAAAATCTTTTGACTTTGCACCTCATTCAGAAAGTTTTCTTCACAAAATGTTATGTGTTGGGATGCAAAATCAAAGTTTTTTCAAAATGGGGTGCAAAGTTCAATATCACCCAAAAAGTGGGGTGCAAAGTCAAATTCTCCCATTTTTTAAATAGAATGTAAAAGATAATTAAGTTCCTCAAATAGGAGCATTATTATTTTATTCATGAAATAAAATTCAATCACTCTGAAGTTCAAGTTTTATAATTTTTATTCTATATTAGGCCGGACTAAGTAAGTCATACTTTGAAAGTAAAACATAGTTAATCCAATTTATAAAGTATGTTTATGTTTTACTTCAGTTAGGATGTTTTTTACTTGGACTGTAATCTGTCCCAGACCAGACCAGACTTCGATAGTTATAAAAATACAAAGAAACCAGTCATTACCAGACCAGATCAGAACAGACTAGATCAGACCAGACCAGCAAATTACAGTCCAAGTAAAAACATCCTTAAAGAGCAATTAGCGCAATTCTATTTTTCTTTTATGGTTTTGATACTATGGTATAGGAGGAAGAAATTAAATTATAATCAATGTGATATTTATAGATTAAGCTTTTCATATTTTTTTTAAAACTGAAATTAAACTCAATCATGGGAAACATTTTTTACATGTGTCCATAGGAAAGAAATTGTGCCGTTATAAGAAAATTATACCTCTAGAATTATGACAAGCGTGTATTGTCGAGGTTAGAACATCTTCGCAGGTTATCACTGCTTGATGATTTGACTTACCACATGCATTGTCAGTAAAAAAAATTACTCCGTATTTTCTAAGTAAAATGTAATCAATGATTAGCTACAACTTCTCCCTCTTCATTTATTATTAATAATAGGAAAAATTGAAAATAATAATCCCAACTATTGTTGGTCCGCTGAAAATAATCCCAACTATTGATTATTTTTGTATAATCCCAACTATATAGACTATCCGCCAACAATGGTCCATGACCATATATTACCTCTATAAAAAGTGAATTTTAAATAGAAATTAGGCGTAAAAATTAAAAGTTGAGATTATTTATAGGGATTACTTGTTATATCCCATCTCATCCACTTTAGAAACTACAAGAATTTATTCATAGATAGTTGGGATTATTATGTAATAATCAATAGTTGGGATTATTATTAGCGGACCGCCAATAGTTGGGATTATTACTATCAATTTTTCCTTAATAATATTATATTATATTTAATAATTATCTTTCCTCGAACAAGTAACTCCTTTTGGCTGATTAGTTTTTTCAAGCAAAAAAACTAGACTTCAATGATAAGCTACTTAGTATTTAGGGAAAACTGTCAAATAGGTCCTCGAATTTTCATAAAAAAGTCAATTAAGTCCTTCTATAGGAGACTCTGTCCGGTTGTCGCGATTTGGGGTGGTTCTAGGTGCAATTTTTTGATAAATTTTTTTGAACATCTTATTCATCAAGTCTAGTTTACTCATACCAAATTTCAGCTAAAAATTTAATCGGGAGCGCATTCAAATTAATTCGAGAACGGGAAAATAAGCAGTTATCTTCAAGAATTAATTTGAATGTGTTCCCGATTGAATTTTTAGCTGAAATTTGGTATGAGTAAACTAGACTTGGTGAATAAGATGCTCAAAACATTTCATCAAAAAATTCCACCGGGAACCGCCCCAAATCGCGACAGCCAGACAAAGTCTCCTATAGAAGGACTTAATTGACTTTTTTATGAAAGTTCGAGGACCTATTTGACAGTTTTCCCTAGTATTTACTTTAAATTGTAAACAAGTTCTCAAAACTAATCATTGGAGATGTTCATAAAACATCTAAAATGGCTAGCGCTATATACAAGTACATTGTAGCTTTTCTTACCACATCGGCTATTTCTGACTAATTCATTTTTCAATTATATGATAGTCCAATGGTTAGCTATAATGTTTGCCTCTTGAATAGGCCTCACGAAACAAACAAATTTAAAATTATACATTTTTAATGAAGTAATTTTTTAATACAATAAAAGTACTACTTATTTTGAAATGCTTTTAAATTGAGAATATGTCAATGAGTTCTTAAATGCTTTTAAATTGAGAATAGTCGGTGTTATCAATAATGAGAATAATATGAAAGACACATTATTTTTTAAATTAGTACAAAAATATTAACAAAATATATAGTTATATTAAAAAATAGGGAAAACTACGGAAAAGGTACTTGTGGTTGGGCCCATTTTCAAATAGGGTCATGTGTTTCATTCTTTATCAAAGTGGTTCATGTGTTTGAATTCCGTTATCACAAGAGGGTCACGCCGTTAAAAACGTCTGAAAAATACCGTTAAAAGTAACTCCGATTTTCAAAAGTGTCCAAAAAATTTTAAAAAAAATACCGAAAGGTGCGCCTCAATAAGACGACCGCTAGGCCATATTTCTTTTTTGTTTTTAGCCACTCTTGTCACCGGAAAGTCTACCGTAAAAGTGATATTAGCGAAATCATTTTTAAAAAATAATTCAAACAGATCTGAAAAATACAAAGGCGGAGGTCATCTTGACGAGCCGCACCTTTTAGTATTTTTCTTTTAATTTTTCAGGCACTTTTGAAAATCGAAGTTACTTTTAACGGTCTTTTTCAGATGTTTTTAACGGCGTGACCCTCTTGTGATAACGGAATTCAAACACGTGAATCACTTTGATAAAAAGTGAAACACATGACCCTATCTGAAAACGGGCCAAACCACAAGTACATTTTCCGTACTTTTCCCTAAAAAATATCAACGTTAACATTTTTAATAATTTTAATACATCAGTTACCTAATAAATTAGATATATTTGGTTATTAGCATTTTAATTTAAATTTCTCTCCCTTTTAGTAAGTAGCTTGTGTTTTCTATTTTGCTTGCCCAAATCAGGACTGAAAAATGCGCTCCAATAGTAAGATAGTAGCTTCAATATTTTTAAAATTTATAAACAAGTTTCTAATTGTAACCATTGGAGATACTCTTAATACCCCAACAAGCACCCCTTTGTTGGCATCTTTAGTCCAAATTATAGCCCGTTTGGTACACATATTTCCAGCTCATGAGCCTTAAAGGCCAACTCTTTTAGGATGTTTTTACTTACACTGTAATTTGTTGGTCTATTCTGGTCTGTTTCAGTCTGGTCTAGTCTGGTCTGTTTAAGTCTGGTTTGGTTTGGTTTGAACTGGTCTGGTCTAATAAATGTCTGGTCTCTGTGTATTTTATAACTACGGAAATCAAGTTTGGTCTGATATGGTCTGTTTAAGTCTGGTCTGGTCTGTTTACGTCTAGTCTGGTTTGGTTTATTTAAGTCTGGTCTGGGACTGAAAACAGTCAAAGTAAAAACATCCTTACTATGCACTTCTTTGTTGTTGTGTTAATTATCTCTCATAAGGTTAGTAAATTTATTTTTTAGTGACTTAGTGAATTAATTTTGATATTCATCTTGTATTTAAATTTCGGATGTCAAATTGCACTTATAAAATTCCAAACATCATGTTTTCAAACAGAGGCGCGGAGTTAGGGGAGGGCCAAGCAAGGGCCCCGAGCAACCCCAAATTTAAAACATGTCTTAATCTTTAAGGTACAAAATTTCGTGTATTGTATTTCAAAAATATTCTTTATACCAACCTAGTCCAGACCAGTGGATTTTGCCATGTTTAAAGTTTACATTTTTGGAATGAGGGCTAGGGCACCTTTTTGGATGTGAATAGATTCAAATACTTAGAACATCTCCAATAGCTCATTTAGAGGACTTGTTTGCAATTTTAAAGCTAATAGTTTATCACTAGAGTATTGTCTTTCCTTTTACTTTAGAAAGCTAATTAGCCTAAATGAAATACTAGCTTGAATAAGGAGAATTACTAAATACGTACTATTACATTAGTAATAAGTCAATCATCTTGTGGTTCGATGACATCACTGTGACACTCTCAAGAATATGAGTGGAGCTAGTGCACTGGACCGGACTAGGCTAGCTGATACAAAGAATATTTTTGAAAACATTTTACGCAGAATTTTTTACACTAAAAATACACGCATTTTTTAAGTTTGGGCTTGACTCAGCCTAGGGTTGGCCCCTAGCTATCCCCCTGCTCAAGAAGGAGGTCACGAGTTTGAAACATATCCCAGTAAAAAATGTTGACATTTAAGAGAACAGATACCATGAGAAAAGAGAAAGTATATATAGCAAAAAACATTATTAATAATAAATGAAGAGTGAGAAATTATAGCTAATCACAAGAGTAAAATGTAATTTTACTACAAATTTTATGTGAAGATGCTCTTAATTTATTAATTTATGCCCCAATAACTTTTACTCCCCTTTTATTTAGCCAAACATAATTTTTCAAGTCAATGATGTTAAACCTTCACCAATATATATTTATACACGGTAATATGGATAATATGAAAATTATACAAAAATGTTTTTTGTTAAAAATATTATCTTAAAAGTATAAATTTATTAAGTTTAACATAAATATATCAGTTAAAATAATAGATCAAAGTTTACCATCTTTGATTGAAAAAATCAAAGATGGCTAAATAAAAAGGGACATAATTAGTTCTATCTCCCGTTCTTTAATTCTTGCAACATTTTGACTTTCACGTTTGCCAACGCACAACTTTGACTACAATTATATTTAATTATGTATTAGTAAACATTATAAAAAGTTGATATTTTGGAAATCATAGGAATTCAATGACATTTTATACGTAATAATTTGATTATGTATATTAGTAGAAAATCGTGGTCAAAGTAAGGTATGTGAATAGTGTAAATATTACAATGTTGCAAGAATTAAAGAACGGAGGAAGTATTACATCCTATCGTATATTTTTAAAGGCAGATTCTATAGTACCCATAAGGTATCATATCTTTGTCTACATCGACCAATGAGAATGTAGCAGTTGAATTATTTAAATCTAAATTAAAAATAATAAAGTAATGTGGTCCAATCAAATGAATGGTGGGTATGGTACCTTTTTTTAAAAGGTATCAGAGTTGTCAAAATTATAAGGGAAATGGTAGTATGAATTACCTGGATAGCAGCCACCGACAGGCGATTCATCTTGGGGGATGCGGGATTTGAGGTCAAGCATGAAGTGGAAGGCGTCGTGGAGAGTGTGCAGAGAATGGCCGGAGAGGATTTGGTACCTCGACAGTATGATGAGCAATTCGTGCTGGTTCGGAGAGGGTTGAGCCGCCACCGCCGTCAGCGGCGTCTTCTGCACGCTCGCCACCGCGCTTTCGTACATCTCCTGGCTCACGCCGTAGGTGCCGCGCCCGAACTTGTAGCCCCACCGCCCGAACCACGACTCGCCGTACCCCACCGCATAAAGCAGCCGTAGATCCATTCCTCTCTTCTCCGACGTGTCTCTCAAGCTCACGCTCCTGCATGTTATATTCTCCATCAACATTTCAATCCAAACACATCACATCACATCAAATTTATTTCACTACAAAAAACACAAATTTATTTCACTTTGCAAAAAAACACTATGACAGGAATTTTTGGATTCGTCAAATTTCATAAGGGATTTGACGGAAATTTGTTAAATCTGTGTCAAAAACATTTTGAAAGACTATTTGGCACAAAATCATCACTTTGTCAAATTTGTGTTGATCAGAGTCAATTATAGGTGATGTTTTTAATTTAATCCAAATTTATAGTTTGATCCGATGTAATCTGTCTTGCTAGCTTGGTGTGGTCTAATCTAATCTAAATTTGAAGTCAATCCTATTAAAACATTCATATTAACAAATACTTCGTATATACATAGTATGTGCTTACATGTATCTTCACGTTGCATTAAATTAAAGGTAATTTATATGGTACTCATAATGTATCATACATTTGTCCACATGAATCAATTAGAATGTTGCAATTGATATAATGATTTGTACCAATCAAATGAATGATAGGTACGGTACCCTATTTTTTAAATGAATGTCGAAGTTGTCACCTAAATTAAATCCAATCAAAACAAAAACATTCTTTTGGAAGTGTACCTAGGAGCCCTAAGTGGTGGTTTTCCAATAGTTAGAGTAAATGTTACTACTAATTATGTAAGTAGTGCTTTTTGTAATTCGTACACATTTCATTTCATACAAATTTGACATTACATCCTAATGCACAAGGACAATGTGCATACATCCTAGTTGTCTGTATGTATACAAACTCATAGAGGCACACAAAGAATTACGTGCAAATGTGTAATATGTGTGAAACATGTACAAATTTTGAGTACAAAAAGATGGTTGATTTTATGTGTAGTCATATTTTAGTCGAAAATGTGTACAGAAATAGAAACCTGGCATGCAAAGCGGAGCACAAGCGATTCCAGAAATCCATGAGATGATGGCCAGGCAAGATGGATCCACTCTCCAAACCATTAATGCATATCAAATGCCCGAAACCGTTGCAGTGGAAAACGCCGTGCATGGTGTGGCCTTCCAACTCGATCATCATCGTGCTTGACGCCGCCGCCAGTTGGATTTCCGGCGCCGTCGAGTTTAGGATGGTGGCGCCGCCGCTGTTTGCGCGCTGGCAGAAATTGAAACAAGCCGCCATGGTGTCCTTAGACGGGAACACAAAATGGTATTTCTTGTTGCAGATCAAATGGTCACCCCACCCTTTATATAAGTAACCAATAATATAATTCATCAGTACGGTCGCAATTTGTACAAAAAGTTTTAATTAAATTGTTTATAACAACAATACAGACTCGCAATACAAATCCCTTCACATAGTTTTATATATTAGCTCCAATTCCTTAAATTACACTTCAAAAATGCTCGATAATAACTAGCAATTCGAGTTGGTCTTTTGAGATCAAAAGCTCCAAGCCAATCAAAATGTTAAAGTTACATTACTTTCCAAAAGATCTCAGTCGAATTCTATACCATAAAAGTTCGTTACACTTGGATTTTGTGACCCAAATTAAACACCCTATGTGCTGGTTATTAATCTTATTATTACCACCAGAATCTTACCTAACAACAACGTGCACAAACTGATTTGAAGGTACTCAAGTTTGGTATAAGATGCATGGGAAAGCCACTACTAAAAAACATCGGTATGGGCACGGGTTTTGGCACGAATTACCGACTTTTCGTGCCAAATAGCTCGATTCAAAGTGTTTTTGGCACGGATTTGGTAAAATCTCTGCTAAAATCTCTGTCAATCCCTTGTTTTTTTGTAGTGAGAATTAATAGAATGCGGACTCAAATTTTGTGAGTATATAAATGTAGACTTATCTAATCAATTTTGGGATTGGAATGATGTGTGAATATGTGATGATGGATTTCCTAACCTGTCTGTATGTGAGGCTGTTAACTTTTTATTCTACCAATTAATGGCATGTAGGAGGGGAATAGAAGATCATTTTAGGAGGGTTAAAATTTAGTGCAGTACAATATAGAATCCGTCGTTTAGCGACAATATTTGAGTTGAATAATTTACATGGGTGTGAGATAAACGTCAGTTCAAATTTAACCTATACAGTTACTGTCCAAATTGGACTCTGCACCCCATTTTTAAAAACTTTTGCATTTGCACTCTAAATCCCTTATGAAAAGACAAAAATGCCCTTCGATTAGGAATATGTTAAAGGCTAACATATTTGTAAATGAAGGGGTGCTTTTGTCTTTTCATAAGGGGTTTGGGTACAAATATAAAAGTTTTTAAAAATGAGGTAGAAAGTCCAATTTGGACAATAAAATGGGGTGCAAACTCAAATTACCCCTTTAAAATATAGAGAGTATATAATTATTACGTGGTATATCATAAACTTCAGGCACCTAATGATTAATTATTATGGTTCTTTCAAATTTGAGAGTATAGCTAATATCACTATCAAAATTTATCTATTTCAAGTTTAGATGACACTGAATTTTTAGAATTCGTAATTTTCTATTCATATTGAATTGCACGAGTCATAATATATATAGGGCTTCAATGCTCTATATGCTCAAACTTCAAGGATTAGTTGATCACTCGTGCCCCTTGGCTCTGTCCTTGGTTATATTTGAATTAAGATTTTTGTATATATTAAAATATATTTTTAGATTGAGTTATTGTGCAAGAGACTATAGAGTTATTTTGTGTTTCATCTGAATTGGTCAAATAACTAACTTAAGTTTAGTTTTACGTTCCTTTATCAATGAATAATATCACAAATTTTTTGTTTTTGGAAGAAATTTGTAGTATTTTATATGGGGAAAGTTCTTGAAATAGAAGTAATCATGTTTCAGAATTCCAAAATGAGACTGCAATGTTATTCTTTTTGAAATATGCATAGTTGCAGTAACATGATAGTATTTACAGTAATCTTAGAATCTTTATTACAAACATAGTTGCAGTATTAGACATTAACATGATTGTATTTACTGTCATTGATGACAGTATTTCTTAAACATGACAATAATAACTCATATTTCAGGGAGAAAAACATAACAGTCCTTTTATATAATTCCAAAGCTTGTTTACTCTTATTTAGGGCAATCTTCCTTTTATTTGTGATGAACTCCGAAAGTATTTACATTATTGCTTGACCACTCAAACATACGTGATATGCGAATCAAGAAATTTAGGAAACACATACGATATTTAGTAAGGTACCACGAGCATCTTCAATGTAATAATATACACGATGCATATATGACATGAGAGAGATATACATAGAAAAATAAATCAATGACATGTCTCTCTTTCTTCCACGGTTTTATATAATTTTCTTAATAACATGTGCATTGTGCACATTATAGCATGTAATATGCTCTAATATATGGATCACAGTCTCATACTATCAAATCACAATATATGGAGTATATAATGTTTATTAAATTCATTTGTTACACATATATGGGACCATATTTTGTGTTGGTAGAGTTGCATGTACTGATCTAAAGAAAGTTCCAACTCTAAATAAGAGTGCAATATAGCACATGTTCTATCTAAAATATTGATCATTTACTCCTATTTTTAAATTATTTTATTTTATTCTTTTAATAAGGTTAAATTAGTCATACGAGTATTTTTTTAATGAAAACGTATTTAATTATATTTTTTTAACTTTACCTACGGAATATATTTTATTTAGTTGAGAATTTCAATTTTAGTCCCGTAACTTTCGGTTTTGCCCGTTATTAGTCCAGTAACTTTATTCAGTTGTGGATTTGGTCCTGTAACTTAACTTTCGCTAAGTTTACTTTCCTACCATAAATTCACCGGAAAATATGTCGCCAACGTCAAATTGTTTGTCGAAGGATCCTTAAATTGCAGTAAGGAGGTCCTTAAATTGCAAAGATTTATTAATAACATGACTAAATGTGCAACACTGAGTAAAGTTGAAAGTCTAATAGTGGATATAGCCCAAAGTTACAGGACTAAATTAACATTGCAATTCTCCCTTTTACTCAGCAATTTCTTATACCTGCATGGCTGCATGTGCTATTGTGCTTAAACAGATTAATGAAAATGCCCATGAACTTAATTGAACTCCTTTATACAGAGTACAATAAAAAGTATAGTAGGGAAAGAACACAAATACCTATATACTGGCAATGCTTGCACTTAGGGTTGAGAGACGATTCAACCGGCTCCTCAATGACAAAGAGGAAGACGTAGGACGGCGGGTGGCGGTGGATCTCGAGCTGGAACGACCAGCTTGGCATCGCACCGCACAACCCAACCTCCGGCTTGGCGTATTCGAGGAGAGCCCGCATGTTCTCCTCGAACTCGTTGTTGTTGTCCAAGGAGGCCGGGCAACCGTCTTCCCCGAACATCTTGAACTTGTACACCACTCTTTCCCCCGATCTCTTCCTCTTCTTAAACCCATCATCATGATCCAAACCGCCCGACATCATCATCTCAATTCCAAAGCTAGCAAGCTAGAAAAGCTAGGGGGAATGAATATATACCTCTAGCTAAGTATGTTTATGTACACTAATTATGTGTAGTATTAAATTGATCACACATATCTTGCCTCAGAAATGGAGACTAAACTCTGATTATTCTCACCGATCACCTGAACGAGGCTTTCGATTTATGAAAGGGGCAAAGTGCAAATCACGAAATGCATGACATGTTTTCAATATGTACTGCGACGTACGTACAGAATTGCATGCACACATTAACGTAAATTAAGTGCTTTCATTTGATGAATAAAATAATTGGGCATGCTTTTCACCCTTTCATTTAAATTATTTTCTCCCGGCAATTTATATGGTCAGTTGAGGCATGCTAACTAAGAGTATATATGTTTTCGAAAGTAGCTAGGCTAGCTATACATTATTACGTACGTAGTATCATTACTGTACGAACTATGCAATAAGTACTTCTTCGTTTTTTAGAAATTGCTTGACTAAAACATAAACAAAGTTTAAAATAGGACTAATTAAGTACGGAGTATGTTTTATTCTCCAAATAGGACTTATTTGGTCCTATTAAAAGAAAATCATAATTAAAACTTGGTAGATTCTATAGTACTCATAAGGTACCGTATCTTTGTCCACATGGACCAATCAGAATCATGCAGTTGAATTATTTAAATCTTAATTAAAAGGGATTTAATGATTTGGACCAATCAAATGCATGGTAGGTACGATACCCCATTTTTTAAATGGGTACCGGAGTTGTCACCTTAAAACTTTCCAACATAGGAGTGAATAGGTCATACTTTAAGGATAAAACATTGATGGTCTTATTTATGAATATTATCCATGTTTAAGTCCTATTTAGGGATTTTTTCCGCCCTTTTTACTTGGACTATAACATATCAAACCAGACTTAAGTAGATCAGATCAAACCAAACTTTAACATATCTAAAATGTCAGATCAGACCAAACATTTTAAATCGTAAATTTACAAGACCAGACTAGTTCAGGATAGACTTGACCGAAAAATTCAGTTCAATTACAAGCATTCTTCATTGTTATGTATACCCATTTCTTGGCCACAAGAAAAAGAAGGAAGAGTTTTGAAATTAACGTATTCATCCCAAAGACCCTTGAATAGATTGTAGTAAGCAATAACAGTTTGAGTACCCTGAGAAATAGTACCTAGGGTTTTTTCATGATAAAAAACTTTAGGGTCATCACTTTTACCACATCTAAGTTGAATTTCATCCCAACGTTCTTTCTTAGTGGTGAAATGTAACACTTGAGATTAATTTAAACGGATTAACAGTACTACTTATACAAACAAGGTGCATCTCCTATTAAGGGAGCTCGTCAACTAAGAACTCTAAAGTTAAGCGTGCTTGCATGGGAGTAGTCTTGGGATAGGTGACCCCTTGGAAAGATTCTCAGGGCGCGCAAGAGTGAGGACAAAATGCGCGGAAAAGGCTAGTGGCGGTTTGTGAGGACAGTACTGGACGTCTGGGACAGTACGGGACGTCTGGTAACTACCTCGGGTCCTGCGGGGCCGGGGTGTTAAGTTGGTATCAGATCATGTGACACCGCACCCGAATGTCCTTGGAAATTTGATTTGAATATTCATAGCTTATGTATTGGATTTCCGATTCCCAAACATTTTGTAAAACGATCAATGTTCTACGTAGTGCATGGTTGAATATCGTACTGTTCAAACTCGTACATTAGTGTCGGGTTTCGCAAATACTTACTCGGGACTTATTAATAAATAAAAAAGCCCAACATTACCTAAATAGTGAAAGAATGATTAAAGGAGAATACAAATGTCTATAACCCCATCTTTGGCATTATTGAGCTAAATAATGGGAGTAGGATTTTCCTTCTAAAATATCCATCAAGTAAATTATTGGGATGAGCCTACACATATTGGAGATCAATAATGTGATTTAGGAAGTTGACTTGTTCTAAATAAATTAGGATGAGTACAAAAAGACATCTTTGACAAAGATAAAACAATAGGACCCATCTTCCCATTTTTGGAAGTATTGGTAGATATTTTGGACCCCAAATTTAATGGGATCAATTGGGAACCACTCCACATGATATTAGTACCTGCAAAACAAATAAAAATGGGTTAGAAGACCTACCTTGGCCGGCCATAATGGAGGGGAGCTGCACATGACTTGATAGGAATCAAAGTTTGGGCCACCATCCTTATTTTCGCACAAATTGGTGTGCTGTTTGTCTCCTCTCATTATAGAAGCTATACTCGACCAAACAACGTGAATAATATGTCCTTGGATAGCCTTTGAAGTCTATTATCTCAATTGAGTGGTCTTTGTTCGAGGAGAGAAGGCTTATCTTACAAAAATCGAGCTGGAACGAGCAGAGGTCTGTGAACTCGAGCTGTGAGAGTGCTGAGACTGTTTGGTCGATATCTCGAGTTTTACAAATCCAATTAAGGCGTGTGAGATACCCACAGAAAGCTCTCAAGACGAGGAATCCGTGAAGGTCTGGTTTGCAGGAATCGGAGTTGTGGAAAGCTTCCAAATCGTCCGAGCAAAACACAACCTCGCAGGAGAGGATTTAATCTTCTAAAAGTGAGTTTTAACCCCAAAACTTTACTTTTCATTTTCCAAATGATATGAACGATTGGTGGGACTATCATACACTAATCCAAGTGTATAATATGTCCTTATAAAGTTATTTTATTGATGTAAAGGTTAGATACTAACCTAGAACAAATCTTGGAAAAACTAGGAAACGAGTTGACCGGGAAACACCCGTTCTAGGGGCTGTTTTCGTATCAACGATTAAGGGTTGAACTAGCACTTTGAGGAGGCTGTTTAACACTCATATTTGAGCAAGGAATCAGTTCCAAATCCACCTTGACCAAAGCTTTGACCATTGGACCAAGAAGGGAAAGTTTAAAGCTCAATTGAGGTGAGGATTGACATCTAATTGCTTACAACTTGTAGGTTAAGCATGAGATTACCTAAATGCTTAAATCATGATTTTTCATGGATTATGATGATTATATATTGATGAAATATTGATATAGTTGCCAAAGAATGAAATTTGAAATGATTTGAGAAGGTATGAATAATATGAGATTAAATGAGTATAAATGAACTATTTGTGAAAATGGGCATTTTTCTCATGTATGAATTATGTGGATACATAAATGAATATTTGTGTATTGAGAATGAATGTTTAAGTTGCTGCTACATAATTATAAATATGTAGAGAATTACAAATAACAAGGATAATGGTTTGATAGCAATAATCTTAATAGTATTGAAATACTAGTTAATGATTATTGGGATTTATTGATTAAATTGATCCTAGGGATTGGATTGTATGAAAGGTGCTTGAATATAGTTCAAGTGTATATAATAACTTAGTATGGAACTAAGGTTAAGTTATGGGAAGTCTTTAAGGATGACCCATGGTAGTTTAATGATATGTCAATTCTAGGCATAGGGTTGCTTGAGAATTGGACCTTAATGCATGGTGATGTGATAGAGCCGAGCTCTAGAATGCATGTAAGGGTAGACTTGGAGTCTATGTATTGTATAGCTAGAGCCGAGCTCTAGGACTTGCGTGGTGATGTGGTAGAGCCGAGCTCTAGAACGCAAGGTAAAGAAATTGACCCGAGGTATATGAATTGTATGGTGATGTGGTAGAGCCGAGCTCTAGAATACAATGTCATGTACTAGGGTTGGACTCTAGGAGTTGTCGTGGCTTATAGCCACGGGGTTGGGAATGGTGATTTCCAAATGAAAACGGGCCCACGGGCCGACTACTTGACTTTTATATAAAGTAAGTATATTTTTAAACGGGGTAACTTAGGGTTACAATCATAATGTACTATCACCCTACTTGAGGGTCTTGTGTTTGAAATACTTGTTGTATACCTATTAGATGCCTGCCACACCAGTACTTTATAGCCGTATAGAGTACTGACCCCTTCGGGGGCGTCCCACCACCATTTCAGGTTGAGGCTAGAGCTTGCTTCCTGTGCTCGTTGCCCGAGTGATTTCCCCGGAGAGAAGACTTGGTTCGTGCTTCCTCCATTCTGTTTTAGAACATTAATAAACATGCTCATGGATATTTTACTTTAGAGCCTGCGTGCTCATGTTTGCCCTGTGTGGCCCTTTTGTTTTAAACAATGTTTTCCGCTGCGTATTCAATTGTTTATTATGTATGTTTATGGATGACTTATGTGTGAATGATATTCATGACGCCTTGTATAATATGAATGTGTTGGACTGCGGTTGACTATTCGTATTGTACGGCGGGTTGTTGACGTGTCCGGGGAGGTCCGGGGCGTGACAGATCAACCCTGCGACAGTGTGCTGACCCGTTGGATATCGGGCAGGCACTTAGCGGGGGAGGATTCTGGGATTGTAACACTTGAGATTTGATATTGGTTTATGGGCGCAACGAGGACGTTGCATTCCTAAGTGGCCCCCTGGGAAGTGATTGTAACACTTGAGATTAATTTAAACGAATTAATAGTAATACTCATACCAACAAGGTGTATCTCCTTTTAAGGGAGCTCATCAGCTAAGAACTCTAAAGTTAAGCGTGCTTGAACGGGAGAAGTCTTGGGATAGATGACCCCCTGGGAAGTTTCTCAGGGCGCACATGACTGAGGACAAAGTGCGCGAAAAAAACTAGTGGCGGTTTGTGAAGACAGTACTAGAGGTCTAGATGGAAGGTCTATATAGTAACTACCTCGGGTCCTACTGGGCCAGGGTGTTACATGAAATATAAGAAAGTTGAACGAATCTCAATCGCAATAGAGTAAATCAACCAAGAAAGGAGTAAAGCATTTATACGATACCAAACAGAGTATAGAAATTACGGTTTCTGGAATCAATTGATTTCGGAAAAGAAAAGGATTCAATTATAGAAATCGAAGAAGATGAATGGATTTAGAAAGGTGATGAAGGATCAAAGCCTAATCTGATACCATGCGAATGCTTGAGCTCAACAAACCGAAGA